TTAGTAAAAATCTTAGCTTGGCAAAAGTCAAAGGTTCAAAGTAGGATTTTGATTGTTCAGAATGATGTCCGCATTGCCAAAACTTTAGCAAAAGGAATTTGCAGTTAAACTTGGCGGAAGGATGGGATTTCAAACCTTACATTATGCAAATTTTACAGGAAAAGCTCAAACCTCAGCATTGCCACTTTAACACCATCCAGACACCAATTACTGCACATTTGAAAACAGAAATATCATATGCTATAATCTAAGAATATTTGCAAGAATATTTCCAGCCTAAAAGTGGCAGAAAAATAAGAATGTTGAGTCTCAGCCAGAAAGCAATATTCTTATAAAATAAAGACCTGTAATGGTGAACCTAGCAAAGAGTACATTCTGACTTATCAAAGAGAGAAACTTTGAACGGTCCAACAGCAAAGCATTAAGTTTAGTATTAGTGATTTAGTACAGTCTTATAACAAAAATCATTTTGAAACTTTTTACAAAACATCTTTGAACTCGGCAGCAAAAATATTTTAAACCAGGCAAATAAAACAATTCTGAATGGTCCAGCAACAAAAATAATGTGGTGTCAATTAACCCAGCAATAGATTTGACTCTAAAGCTTTTTTATTATTAGTTTTTTAAGTATAATTTCAAAGTGGGAAACAAAGCAAACTAAATTTGGCTCAAGACGTGCAGCAACAACTTGGAATGATTCAGGAAAAAATGACCATTTTTAACCCAGTGGCAAAAAAATTAATTATCAAACTCAGCATGGGCACAAAAACTACTTCAAATAAACCAAGCACAAAATTTTCAAATTTTTTGAACAGCAATGAAAAAGAAAAGTTTTTCAACCCAGCAGCAGAACTTTGTTTTGAACCAAGCAATGAGTTATTTGTTGTAGAACTAGCAACAAAAATATTTTAATGTCAAGTGATGAGAATAATTTCATGCATAGTAATTTAAGTTAAGCTCTGATTGGGTAACTGTACAAGCATTGGTTGTTTTCAATTTTTTTACTATTATTTTATGGGGCATGAAAGTTTCTGGAAATTAAATGACTTAAATTAATCCTCAGAAACAAAGATAAGTACATTTACTGTGTGCATATCTCTGTTTGAATGCTAGTGTAGAAATGCCTGCACATTTGTGTCAGTCAAATGTTTCTGGAAATTTTAAGTGGCCAATTTTGCAAGCATTTCATGATTTTCCACAGTAAAATAATATGAATAGTTAAAAGGTGTTAACAGTGCTAGAATTAACAGTCTGTCATTGGACCTTGTGCAACCAAATTTTGAAAATTTTCTGACTAATATTACATTATGATTTGACATCATGACAGAGCTCCAAAATGACTTGGCTTTTAGTTATGAAGATTTTGTTTGCAGACCATGTTTGCTTTTGATAATAGCTTCTCCAGACTTTGGTGGTCTCTTTTCTTTTAAGGTTCCAGATGTCAAAATGACAAACGTTAGCAGTGTAAGAATGGCTTGGTTGGACTTGGAATTTACATGCTCCCTTTAACCCATTGACTCCTGTGCTGCCCGTAACCAGCCGTGACAGGCATTGGCTTTTGTTCCACTTCTAATGTCATCACCTCTGACCAAAATTGACATCATCTATACTCAAGTTCTGCCAGTCAGGAGGAAAAGATCTTTCCAATGATACCCAGATCAGAGTGAATGCCTCAGTGGAGCCTGAAATATGCATGAAAATGCCCAGAAATTTGAGTGAAAAACCGCCAGCAAAATTTCCTGTGACTACACTTAGCTACTCCAAAATTTAGCTACTTAGCTACTCCAAAATTTCTAAGAAATTTTTGAACTGGAAGCAAGCCCAGTAGAAGATCAATCACTGCAGCAAAAAGATAGGAAAAGGAGAAAGAGGAAAGGTGAAAAGAAAAATAATAAAAACAAAACACAAAAAGCCTAAAGAAGTAGGTCACTTTCTCGTCCCAAAACTATCTAGAAATTTTGTTTTCTGTGCATACCCAAGCAAAAATGTGGTAAAAACGCGATGCCAGTGGAAAGAAAGGCATGCTGTCAATGGGTTAAATTTATTGACATCAGTGTGCACCCTATTTGATGTCATTCAGTTCAGAAAACATTGAGGAGACATTGCCTTAATCTACAAATTCTCTATGCTACAGTATATTGGGATTTCATTAGGAGAGTTACTATTTTGAGCGTAATGGAAACTAAATACATAAAAATTACAAGGAGACCTGAATTTGTTTTCCAGATGAGATGTAAACAAGGAACCAAGGGGATCAGAAACTTGGCAATTAGGATTTACATGCAGCAGTTATCCAGGTAAACTAATAAAAGTGATTTGCAATTACCGTAAACACTGATGGACAAGCCACACCTTTTTACTCAAAATTTTCTTTAGAAATCGGGGATGCAGCTTATCTGTGTGAACATCTGGACAACGTGCCATAAATTTGCATAAATTAACACTTTCCATCGAAAATTTATAAGCCGGTAAAGCAAACTAATAAGAACTTCAGGAAACAAAGAATATCAGAGTTGACTCCTAAAGGAACTGTTTTTGTTCATTATCACAAGCTTACATTTCTTGCTGCTAAACTGCATTAAACCTACATTAAAAAATCTCTTAACCAGTTTAAGGTTGCCATTCTAGCTCATTCTGGAGTAGCTAAATGTTTCACAGTAGGGAATCTCCATTCTGCCACAAAGCTGTTTTCATGTCAACAAAGAAAGCTTCGAGAGCTACTTGTGTCCAGTACTCCATCTCCTGGTGAAATGCCTGGCTACTAAGCTACAAATGAACGAATGTGTTTGTGTTCTTCTTGTTGTATGTAAAATTCTACTGAAAAACTGACAGGAATGAAAACAATACTGGTTTAAAAATACCAGAGAAAGATCAAACATATGTCAAAGTTGGTAGACATCATGTCCATACTATTGCAAAACTAAAATTATAGGTAAGAGTTTCAGTGTTTGTGAGTTTATGCCGGTTTACATTCAATAAATCAAGAAATGTACATGTAAAGAACCTTCTCAATCTTCACTTGTGAAGTATTTTGAGTTCTTTCCAAAAACTTTTTTTCCGAAATATAGTTGCCAAACTTGGGGTGTGGCATATCTGCGAGTGCAGCTTATCCACTGGTGTTTACGGTATATTATTCTTGATTAATCAAGTTATTACTGCTTTGTAGCATTCTTATTGTAACAGTTATGCCATTCTTCAAGGGTTTTTTTTATCACCTGCAAAAAGTCTTCACTCAAAATCAATTTTCCACTCACACATTTTTTTTTCAGCAAAACTTGCACTACTCAAAATTGCAATGGTTTTTTTTTTACATTTTAATTAAAATATATCTTTCATTTATTGGCAAGAAAGATGTCCAACTTTGAAATTCTTTCTCATGAGTGCTAATTTACAAGGCTCTGAAATGTGACAAATTGTCTTCTCTTTTTCACTGCGGCCTTTTTCACCTGGGGTAACCTTGAAATTGCACTGAATTCCTCTTTTGCAC